ATTTCTATAGATAGATAGATAGATAGATAGATAGATAGATAGATAGATAGATAGATAGATAGATAGATAGATAGATAGATAGATAGAATTTCTGTCACATGATTTCATAAGTAAGTTGTGTTTGTAAAACTGTCACTAAGCGCCTTCTATTTTTTTTTATCACAGCTTTATTGAGACAGACAGTAATTACATGTTCAAATGAAAATCTCCACTTTGCATCTTTAAAAACTAAATTAAGATAAAATTGTTTAAGGCTTAGAAATAAAAAATGACAAAATAATACATAAATAATAAATCTTAAATCCAGTCTCCAACAAAATATAAATACATATAGAATAGAGATAATAGTAAAAAGATTAGAAAGACAAACATGTTAAGCTCCTGATTAGAAGCTTTGCTGGGGATGAATGGCTGAATGTGGAGGAGCAGAGCTAACGCTGCTTCTGCTCTCTGAGACGCCACCTGCTGCACATGTGCAAGCCGATAAAAACCCCAGAATAATCCTGGCAGAAATGGAAAGATCTAGAAATAAATATTAGTTGATGCTAAAATAAACCATGTGTGAAAAAAAATTTATTTGAATAAGCAACATGACAATAAAGGTTGGTTTTGGATATAGAGTTAATAATGGGTTTTTTTTGCATTTTGTCTCTGGGAACTCCAGACTTTGGTGTTTATTGTTGTGACTTTTGGTGATAGATCAACAACAACAAAACAGTACAAACTTTGTAAGTGATAAAAAGTGTTAATAGAATTAGAAATCTAGTTTTACCAGAAGTCTTAATGAGGTTGTCTCTAACAGAGGCAGAAATCCAGAGATAAGCTGCGTCTTATTTTAAGAAAATTATACCTCAGTCTGAGTCAGAGGGCATCTAAGAACAGAGCTTTTTTTTTCTAATCTTAACAGGCTTTAGGTTTTGACTTTGACTAGACCCTCACCTTCGGCTGTTCCCCCCTCTAGCAGCATTTCTTTTTTGATCTTTGAGTATTTAACAATTTAACGCCAATCGTCTTATTTTGCTCTGATCTGCTTCCCTATCTGCTAAAGAAACCCAGCATCATGCTGCCAACACCATGTTTCACTCCGGAGTTGTTTTCCTTCACTTATGATGTTTTGAATGAAGACAACAGAGTTAAGTTTTGTTCTGTTTTGTTTTACTAAGGCTCATCAATTATATTTTATAGGATCTTAATTTTGTGTTTTAAGTGTTTTATTTAAATTGTTAATTGATGCTGTTAACTCTTATCTGTTTGATTTTTTTCTTTGTAGCAATTTAATTCAATTCAGTTTATTTCTATAGCTCCAATTCACATCATATCATTCAGGTCACTTTCCAGTTCACCAGATCATTGATTCAAATGTTTCTATCTGAGGAAAACCAGCTGATTGCATCGACTCATTGACTCTTCAGCAATCCC